TTCTGCGGCCTCCACGTGGCTCATCCCTGTGCCCCTGAGTTTGAGGGGCTCGGAACTTCTGAATGGCCCCTTCTTTGCAAAGAGCACACATCATAACTGTCACAACAGGAAAGCAGCGTTTCGCATGCCTCCATGCACACGTCCTACACCCTGAGATTCAAGGTTGCACATCTAAGAGCACCTTTGAGATCCAGCGCCGTAAGTCGTGTCTATGCACCAAAGCCCGAGCGATGTTCTGCATTCTTCCGGAGCCGCGTCTGCTCGCGGGGATGCAACCTAAGATGGCAACGAAGCGGCAAGGCAGAAATGTTCAGACTGTATCTTCTGGATTCTTCTGGTGCCGGTTGTGCTTCTGGTGGGAACGGGTTTCAGTGGCCAAAACCAGCGGCCGGCATCAGAAAACAACAGCAACAGCAGAAGCAGCACCGGCACGACAACATACACAACCGGGAAATCCCGTTTATTTTCTTCTCGTTTGCACCACCTGTTCCTCCTCCATTTCTCAACTCTGCCGCGGTGGCGCTAGCATCAGGGACACAAGTCAGCTATACTGCAGAGTCGCTGATACCAACTGATCCACAAGTCCCAGCATGCCCGAAGCCGGACATGATTCGCCCTGTGATGCCCAGAAGCGAGCAATACTTCGCGCGGATCGGAGAAGAGCATCGAGCTTCTCGACCGTCTTCCTGTGGCCCAGCGAGTAACTACAAGTTGTAGCCGCACGTCGCAACACTGGCGCTCCTAAACCACGCTTGGAGACTCAAAACTTTGGGGCGGGGTTTCACAGCACAACTTCCACAAAGGGGCTAAAAAGTGTGTTGCAAAGTGTTTGGACTCAAGAGGCCGCGACACTTCATTTTTTGACCGAAGCAGCGGTCTGGATCAGCGCGCCGTGGCAGGTGCCACAGCACAGGTGAAAAGCTGGGAGCTGGGGGCCGACGAGCTCCCAGCTCAAAGTGACCTTTTCTCACCCGCGGGTGGAAGGTCTGAAACTGCACCACGCTGTGTTCCCCGAACTGCACCGCGGTGCGAGGGGAGCCCGGTGGGGAAGCAAAGCAGCTACGCGAGCACAGACGTCCAAAGTAAATCTTGTGCTCTGCTAAGCTGTGCGTCGTGGATGCTCGCAGCGCGCGACAACGGCCCATTGAACTCAAGAGGCCGCGACACTTCTCTTTGAGCACACTGTGGCAGGTGCCACAGCCCGGGCAAAAAGCTGAGGAACCCCATGGGCCGACGAGCTCCCAGCACAAAGTGACCTCTAAGCTGGGCCATCAACTGCCACTCAAGGGTGCGGTCCGGAAGATTGCCAGGATCAGACGACAGACCTCCTCGATGTCCTCTTTTTGATGGCAAGTGCAAGAGTGTCACACAGCCTGGGGGGGAGGTGCGATCTCTTCGCAGCAGGCGAATCGGATCCGTCCAGACGAGTCGTGCCACGCCTCTTCTTGCCGGATGTGCTCACAGCAGTCAAGATAGAGAAAACAGACACAGCGCGGGAGAGAAAGAAAGGGGGAGTGGACGGAATTATCATTGTCTTCAGTGCACCCTTTGTCCCAGCTTCTGACACTTGTCACCGAACGCCTGAAAGGATGTGGGGAACCGAGGAAGTGAGTGCATTTTATGCAAGTACTCTTGCGTGCTTTGTGTCTCGTTCTCTGAGCTCTTCCATATACTTGCCCGGGCATTGTCTTTGGAGCCCGCAGCGTGCACGCCTGCCAGGAGGTTTGGCTTGTGATGCTTGTGGAGGGTTCGGTGAGCCGTGCGCGAGTTGTGCAACAGCTCGCGACCTTTCCGGGCCTCGAAAGTAGCAGAGCGGAAATGTCATGGAGAACATTCCAATCTTTTGCCTGAGCGTTTTGGCCTCCAGGAAGTTCCAGAGGAAGGAGTCCCCAGGGTGGCAAACAAGCAGTGCTCGTCGCAGGACTTGGCCAACGACTTGCACAAAGTTCTCGTGGCCAGGGTGTTGGCACTTCGCACCTCAAAACTGTAGCCGGCAGCCCTGTAAGGCGGAAGCCTAAACGCAAGGCAGGAGCGGCTAGGGCTAAGTTCAGCCTGCCAGCATTTTTCCCTCGAGAAGGTGCCACACGGTAGGGCCTAGAACTTGGCCACGACCAGTGGGTCCCCATCCATCTCCTCAAGTTTCTCCTTCCCCGCGGGGGTCGAAAAGTCGTCGTTGGCATCCACGGCCGCCCCAAACAGGATCCTCACCACCACACTGTTCACAGCTCTTCAACAAGTAGGGCACAGGTAGTTCCTTCTGGAGCTGCGCTCCGACATGCGCTTCTCGATGCACCAGAGTGAGCAGAAGGAGCGTTTGCACGATGCTGGGTATCTGTAAAAAAGGCCCCGACTCCTCTCCGCCGCAGAGGGCCCATCGTCATCCTCCTCCACAGCTGCAACGGTGGGCTTCCTCGCAGTCGCAGTCTGGGCCACAGCCGCGCCACCGCCCAAGACAGAGAAGAGGGGGCGTCTGAACACCGCCGCAAAGGTGAAGAGCGCACCAGTTTTTCGCACCTCTCCGTCTTCACGGCGATGGTTCTTTTCTCGCCCTCCAGGACACCTGCTTAGATGCCTCCTCGACTGGCACCGGCACCGGTCAGTCTCATGCTCGGGACTGGCGATGCTCGAAGCGTCCTGTCAATCATCCTGACTTGGTCGAAGGAGTCCAACTACACAATTGCTCCGCCGGCCACCTCCAAGGCCTCAGGCACCCGGTTTTGGCAAAGACGGCCTGCATGATGGTGACGGCCAGCCACAAGGGATGACCCTCAAGGCTGGTCTCACCCACTCTTCACTTGAGCCGAAGATGTGGCCCGGGACCTTCATAGAGTAAGTGGGAGAAGTAGGGCACCCATACATGGGGCACCCGGAAGAGGTTGAAGGCACTGATGAGATCCTCAGAGTCCACCAAAAGGGTCTGGCCCTCTTCCTGGTAGCCAGGCAGCATTGATGGGAATGAGGTTGCTGATGAAGCGCTGCACCACGACCTCTTTCACCATCTTCCTCTTCTCCACAGCCCCCGGTCGCGATGAGGTGCCCCTGAGAGCCGCGAGGGATCGCACGCTCATCCACCGGACCCACCACGCCTGGACGAGAAGCCGCCTTCATCACCTTGTTCCACTGCTCCTTACGCGAGGAGCGTGGCTGATCAGCCCCACGCTTCATGAAGAGCTCAATGACCGCCTCGGCGTTCAACGCGCCGACTCTCTGGACCATGTTGTCCTCATAATCTCTTGAGCGGCTTGAGAAGAGTTTGTCTTAGGCTGGTTTTTCAGTGGCTCGCCCTTTCCCAGGCCAACTTCACAAGACCTGGCTAGGCCCTTCACCGCTCCGAGAGGCGGGGGCCAGCGAACAGGGAATTGAGGCCGCCGTAGAGGACCCCAGCGAGGAGGCGAGGAGCGGCCGGAGCAGACATGCCCAAAGCCCGTGAAGTTAAGCCCCTTGCGTTAGAGTGCATCTTGGAAAGTCGCCCAGAGTTGAACTCGGCCGCGGCCGGTGCCTCAGGCGGAGCTCCGAGGCTGGTCCTGTCGTCGCCGGGAGGTCGCTGCCTGAGGCCTTTCCAAGCTCCTTTTTCGGTGAGCTCCCACTGGCGCTTCCTTGGCCTCCGCTGCAACGGGTCTTACTTCTTCCCCTTCTTCTTCTTTCCCTCACCTTCTTGTGCTTCTCGGCCTGGGTGGAGATTTGCAGGGGTGGAGGTTCCTCACCATGCCTTCCCACCGCCCTCCTTCCTTCACTTGACTCCAACTCACGCTGGCGAGTGGCCATCACGACCTCGTACAAGACCGCCCTCTCTGGTTGAGCCAACTGTCGTCGTGGAAAGCTTCCTCGATGGCCTTCACGCTTTGTGCGACGATGTCTGCGGCGCGCCGCGTCTCCCCCTCCACTACGAGGTCCAGGGCTTTGCAGACTTTCGCTCCCGCAGCTGACGCAGCCAGCTTCTGCGGAACTCCGGCGCCAGGATGGTCAGAAGGTATGCTTGAGGCCATGGGCGGGGCGGCGTCGCTTTCGGGTGCAAGGGTTTGCACGCCCACCTTCCCGTGCGAGCACCGTTCGCATCTTGCACAGCCGCTTGAGGGAGGGGGAAGGGAAGGGCGGGCACTGAATACTCCCAGAAGAAGCTGCAGCTGCCGGTGGCGAGACGAGGAGGCTTCGCGAAAAGACGGCTCCGACGAGGAGCTGTCCTTTCCCAGTTCAGCCGGCGAAGGCGACGCCTCTTTTTTTCTTTTTGATTTTTTGTTTTTCCGCCGTGACTTCTGGTCCTCAGACCGCGGCTTTTCTCTGCTGCGCCCTCGTCGCGAGCTCGAGTCTGCAATTAACACGTCGCTCAGGTGACTTGCCCCGGCGGCCTGTGCGCATTCGATTGACCTCTGCGTCTAGGCCCGCCGGCTTGCCTTCTTGTGACCCTGTTTCTCAACCACAGCTGGGGGAGGAGGACCTGAAGAGCCCAAACGATCAAGGCCTACTGAAGGTCCGCAGCCGCTGCGGGCTGCCCTATGAAGGCAGGCTGGTGAGAGCTCCCAAGCTCCCTCAGCGGGAGCGATTCAAGGTTGAACTCGACCGCGGGTGCCCTGTAGATCCACGACACGTGTCGGGTCTTTTGGCACCAACGAACCTCGGCTCCGCGGAGCATTCGCCCTCGTCGAGCCACCACTGGAGGTAGCCATCTGAGATGGCCACGATTGTGGTTTTCCTAAACCACTCCATGTGCCGGGCGGGGTCTTCGCGCTCCTCGACCCTCACCAGGGCCATTCCCTGAAGGCCATTCTCCATCCAGGAGCCTTAGCTCTAGGTAATCTCCGGGTCCTCTCGAGGGAGGAACCAAGGCCCAGGAACACGGCCACTACTTACCCTACAGCGGTCATCTTAAGCAAAGAGCTATGCGAGCACAGACGTCCAAAGTAAATCACGTGCAAAGCTGTGCGTCGTGGATGCTCGCAGCGCACGACAACGGCCCGGGACAGCCGACAAGAGCCCAGCAAGCATTAAACATGCATTTCGGCCTGGAAAGGCAGGAAGGGTCGCACCGGCACAGGCGGTACAGGCCGGTCCACTGCTTTCCTGAAGGGGAACGTTGCGGAAGGATGTCTGAAATTTGGGCATCAAGGAACGACTGCATTGAATCTACATGTGGTAGCACGTTCTAGATTCAAAGTTCTAGACACAGTGGGGCGAGCCTGCAAATTATCTCAGTCTTCGCACCCTTCACTTAGATATGGTCGGACGCGTCCAGAAGATCCCTTGAGCTCTTGATGTCTTTATAGCACAAATACGTGGCATCTTGCCCTGCAGCACACTGCTTCAGCCGGCCGTGGTCGGCAGGCCCCCTTTGAGCTTCGCGTCAAAATCTGCCATCACTGAACTGGAATATCCAAGGACCGGACACAATGTCCGGGTTGCTCTTTTGATGGAGGTCGCGCAGCATTGTCTCGCGGTGTCGGGACACATTCCTCGTCGAGTGGTAGAGCTATGACAGGGATGACCGTTCAATACGTCCAGAGGGGAAGACTATTTGCGTGTGGAAGCTTGGAGTGAAGTGGACTTCCGGCAATTGTCACTGCAGCGTCCTCTTACATACCAGAAAGCACAGCCTCCCTAAGTTTGAGTTTGCAGACACACGGACATCAGTGGAGATTGCTCAGGGAACGCTGACTGCAAAGGCACGCATCGTCGTTGTGGCATGGGAACTGCGGCCGACGCGGTGGCGGCGGTGGTGATAGTGGCAGCCGTAATGGGAACAGTTGTGGAAGCGATGGTGATAGTCCTGGTCGTAGCCGGAGTCGTCGAAGCAAAAGAAGAACTAGTAGTAGCAAGTGCAGCAGTAGTAGCAGTACTCGTCGTCGTCGTCGTCGTAGTAGTAGTAGTAGTAGTAGCAGCAGCAGCAAGTAGTAGTAGTAGTAGTAGTAGTAGCAGCAGCAGCAGCAGCAGTAGTAGTAGTAAGCAGCAGTAGTAGTAGTAAGCAGCAGCAGCAGCAGCAGCAGCAGCAGCAGCAGCAGCAGCAGCAGCAGCAGCAGCAGTAGCAGTAGCCGTAGCAGTAGCAGCAGCGGTAGTAGTAGTAGTAGTAGTAGTCGTCGTCGTCGTCGTCGTCGCAGTAGCAGTAGCAGTAGCAGCAGTGCAGTTACTAGTAGTGGCAGTAGAGTTGCCGCAGAAGTGGTGGTCGTCGGAGGAGGAGGAGGAGTAGCGAAAAAGGAGGAGGAGGAGGAGGAGGGGCAGCCGCAGCTGCAGCGACATTCAGGATTCTGATGATGATGCTGCTGCTGCGGCTGATGATGATGATGATGGTGGTGCTGATGATGCTGCTGCTGCTGCTGCTGCCGCTGCTGCTGCTGCTGCTGATGCTGATGCTGATGCTGATGCTGATGCTGATGCTGATGTTGATGCTGATGCTGATGCTGCTGACGCATGAACATGGAGATGCGGCTAGGTGATGAGGGTGACAGGGATGGCGATGATATTGAGGACGAGCTTGAGGAAGATGATCAGCAGCTGCTGCTATTCTCTGATCCTTGAAGAAGGATTAAGCAGGTATGACCGCTGCACAGGGTGCCACGCTGAACTTCGGACCACTCACGAAGGGGAAGTGCTCGCCGCTGACCTGGGCATTCAGAATGTGCGCCTTTGCTGTGTTTCGCGTCCAATCCCCTGTCCTAGGTTCATTGGCATCTTGACTGCAAGCAGCAGGTCTACATGGAAGTTCTTCAACAGGCTTGGATTCTGCGACATTTTTCTTCTAGGACGGAAACCCGGCCGGCACAGCAGAACGTTGCAGCTGTAAGGCCACTTGATGCGGAGAATAGACACCTGGGACGACTGTACTGAAGTCGCTTGGATCGAAGCCTTCGTATGCCCGAATGCTGGTCCTGTCAAGAAGGCACTGGAGCTATGGTCACTCTGCATCGAGAAAGTCCGAGCATGGCCTCTCTCACAGTGAGACATACCATACGGGCCGAAGGCAACTGACCGCCCTTCACACACCGGCACGTGCAATACTCCATTCATTACGACATAAGGATCCCCAAGCAAGATGCGGGTGCCTTGACTGCAGAGCGCAGGTCCTCGCAAATTCCGCCACCTTGATAGTAGAAACGGATTTTCGTACCGTTCCATGCTCTTGAACCTGCATCGCCAGGGTTCTTACGTGGCCCTCGGCAGCCTGGGTGGGAAGTCGAAGAGCAGAAAGACCTGAGGCAATGCGTATGCTTTAATCTGCAGGTCTCTTGAGCATTCCAGTCGTCCCTTCATTGCTGGAAGACTCAGCCGTGCTACATGTTGCAAAGGTTCAAGGCAATTTGTCACTGCCGGGTTAAGCTTTCTCGTCGTTCCAAGCAAACGCAGCAGCAAGAGAAAGAGCAGCATCAGCTGGAAGAGCTGTGGCACTGTCGCTGTCGTTGCACTCAAGCTCATGTCTCCAGTGCTGCTGTTGCTACCGCTGCTCCCCCCCAGGCCGTGCGACACGAGGCTTCCGCCTGCGTTGGTGAAGTCCCAGCCAGGCCCCGGCCTGCAAAGAGCCGCACCAAAGGGAAGTCATGAAAGCCTGGAGAACCTTCGGAGACCTGACAGTCCTTCAAGGAGCCAACGTGGATTCCGCACAAGCAGTCGTTGCTTTAGCCGGACATTATCTCATCTCCAAAGCATGCAAACGCTTCATACCACGGCACATGCTAATGCATCGCCATACCACTGCTTCAACGTCGTCATGCCCCATAATAGCTACACATCGCGCAAGGTTTGCACATCTGTTGCAGCGTCATCCTGGTATCCTGATGTGTATACCTGACTACAACTGACTATACCCGATCCAGTCCTATCAGAAAGTGCTGGATGCTAACTATGCCTCTTGCCTTCTTGGGATGTCCGATGACGCTGCATCAGCTCTCCCTGATTCGACATCATGCCTTTCTGGCCTCCGTGAACCGCCACTAAACAGAGCGGCTCATAAGCTGAGCTGCTGCCGGTTCGACAACTGTCTAAATACCAGGCTGACTACGTCTGGCTATGTCTCGAGACGACCTACGCAGCGGCTTGCATCCGAAGCTGCTTACAATCATGCACCTTGTCGGTATCAATCAAGGAAGCCTCATGGAAGGATCCTAGGTACGTCATGTCTGGAAATCCTTGCTACGGGCTCTGGACCCAAAACCTAAAACATCACCGGAGGTGCCCAGCTATCAATGATCAAATGGAAACCTTGAGCCCAACATACACTAACTTCGCTGCCCTGGAACCGGGCTGCCTCTCTTCCATACCAATGTGGTTGCTCCGGTAATTCGGGCTGAAGGGCTCTGTGCAGATCGGCTCTCGACCTCAATGCGATGCCGAATAAGATGGCCCTGCAACATGAAATGACAGAAGCCGCGACAGCCTCAATGGTTCTCCGGCATTTCGGAACGTGGGGCTTAATTACGTTCAACCGAGTCAACCGAGAGTGCCACCAATGCTTGGTGCGAAAGGGATCCGAAGAAGCCCTGCGACAAAGTGATGCACAGAGCTCGATGCGCCCCCTTTGCAGTCACCATGTTCCCTGCGACCTGGCCTTCGCGCACCACGTCTGATGGCACGCTGACCAAGCCGAGGGAAGACGCCACTGGCGCAGCCTTCACCAAGACTCCAAAGCAACTCTACCTGTCACAGCAACTACCTTGCCGAGGTACGCTGCCCACATGAGACCTCTGCTCGTCGTCCTGGAAGCGTTGCAGGGCACCTGAAAACAAACGGCACACGGACCCTACGAAGACAAGCCGCTGCAACGCGGTTCAAAAAGCACAAAGTGCACAAGTGCTCCGTGATCGAAACGAGAAGCACGCCCAAGCCAAGAAATGAGTACAGACCCCCGCAAAGATCTATGCAGGTAACTACATGATCGAAAGATCTTGCGACCAGCCGGCAAGCCCAATCACAGGTGCGTAACTAATGACATCTTTTGAAAGAGCTCGAAGAAGCCATGCCTTTCCTGGAACCTTGGGAGGCCATGAAGCAGAATACCGACTTACTTCTGCAGAGGAGCTGGAGGAGAGGCTGCGTACCGCGCTCCCGACGCTTGTCGACGCCGTACGAGGGCGCGAAATCTGGCCTCAGTTGCGGTTGAAGCTTCTACCGCCGATTCTACCGCACTGCACGAAGATGCACGAAGCGCATTTCAGTTGCCGAGCGGTTCTAGGGCCTCACGGCATCTCTCAGCTTCTACCGGCTAGCACAATCGGCGATTGGGAGGGCCCGGCTTTCTGCGCCGGCGCTGCGGTGAGGTTTCCTGGCCTGCCAACATGTCTAACGACTCCACGTTTCTTACAACCCGTCCAAACCACCCTGGAGTCCTTCAGTGCAGTCGCAGATGCAGGGCGCCGCAGAGACACTGTGCTGCCGATCACAGACATTCGGGTCGAACGGGTGCACACCTTGAAGAATAACGAGGTCGTGCCAAGGGCTCTTGACAACGCCAGACTCACAGATCTTGGAGCTACGGCATTGTTACGGTAGGCACCATGGTAACTAGGTCATGGGAACAACATGCTGAAATACTAATTTGGCAATGCCCGGGCCAGTCTGGCTTAGCCAGCGGCCTAGGCTTGTGCTGAGCCAGGACACGAAGCCACAAGCGGTCACACTGTGAGGCTCAAGCCCAGAACTCATGTAGAGAAGGGCGAACAGCTGTGTCAAGACAGTGTATAAATCTGGTAGCAGAAGTGCTAGTCTGCCAATACTACTGCTACGAACCCACCATCAGCAAGAGCATCGGAATTCTCCTGTTGTGTAGTATACCTGGACCTGACGTTAGCTGCATTCTTACAGCTCCTGTGCAGACCTCTCTGGCGGACGACGACCGCCCGCGGTTCGGACGAGGCGTGCTCAGATGAAGGCTTGACGCGCCGGCGAAAAATGCGGAAGCCTGACAAAGCAGCATCCTGTTTCTTATTATCGAAGCCTCTGTGCTCTGCCAGTGCTAAACCCCAGGTAGATTTGCATGTCGCACATGCTGACGCTTGCTCAGGCTGCAGCACTTGCGACTCTAGCGATTGTTCGTGAGATGTTAGCGTGGACTCAGCATTCGAAGTTTTGCTCCTTGACGGGTGCTCACGGCTTGAAGCATTTCTGCTTCTGGGTGCGTGAGACAGAGAAGTGGGGCAGACCGCTGATTGGCTGGGAAAGTATCTCTCCCGGTAACCAATCAGGATCTAGTCAAGCTTTTGGTAAAGACAAGCCGCCTCCATGTCTGCTGACGACATGCCGACGCTGCCACGGAAAGTTGACCAAAAGCTTCCTCGCCCGCTCGAGTCTGTCGCCTCGGGCTTTAAGCCGTGGGCAAACAGTCACGCGGCGTCCCCGGTCTCATCTGGGTTAGGCTCCCCGTCCTGGCAGGCCAAGATTGCGAAGACTCCGGCGCTTCCGCGACGTCGCTGGCCTCCGCTGCTGTGCCGGCTCCAAGCGCCTTCTCCTGGAAAGGAAACGTTCCGACATGTTCTCACATTGCGGCTGCTGGGCTCTGAAGAGAGAGAGCTGCCTCCTCGCCGAGAGCCGCCTCCTCGGGAGTCGGGAGGATGGAGTCCGGGATCAGCGAGGCCTTGGAGACCAAAGGAGCCAGAGCCAAAGAAAGGAGGGACATGCATCGCGCAATTGCCTTCTTCAGACCACCACTGCAGTCTACGACTGCCCACAGGGGTGCATCCACTTCGATCGGCCGCTTCACGTTCGCCTACCGCAGGTCGCAAGGCCCCTTACTCTTCTGCATGTGAGCCAGGCGAAGAAGGGAGTTGCGCCGTGTTGCGCCTCAGGCGAGAAAGTGTAGACCAGCCGCCGGTTAATGTAAAGCTCCTGGCACAGGCTTCTTTCTGTTTCGAGCGTCAGGCAGCCGCAATTCGGTCGAGCATCAGTCAGCCCAAAGCCCTGCATGACGACACGAAACGGAAGGGTCCAGGCCGCCATCGAGGTTCGCTAAGGCCTGGCACGAGGCAGGAGCTGCGATATAGTCACCACTGCCACACAGCCCTGGTCCTCTTTCGCCCCGTTGTCTTGAGATCATTTGATGAACTTGGGTTTCCACGCTGTCTCGGGCCCTCGGGCCGAACTCGAAACGGAGCATGCTTCAGAAGAAGTCAACCCTGTGTCTGAGAGCATTCTGCACGATGCAGCTCCTCTCTAGCCCCCGCACCCCCGATCGTCGAAGTCGGCTCGCGATTGAAAGCCCGAAGCTTGTGCGCTAGGTCGATTTCAAGTTTCGCTTCTGGCACACAATGCCTGACGAAAGGACTGATTCTACACTTCGCCGAGGTGCAAGGCATGCCAAGACATGTGAGTCCCCCTGCAAAAACGATCGCCGAGAAGCTCCCACAGTGAAGGTCTGAGCCGGCTTCAGCTTCGCGAAGATCGGCTCAATCTCAGCAGAACGAAGACTCGCTGATTAGCGATAGAATGAGAAGCGCAGTCAGCAGCTCCCAAATCAGCTGCCTCAATGCGCTCGCCATTCCAATACAGTGACCGGCCGTAGCCCACGACCTCCGCAACACGCACCGTGCCCTCAAAAGACCTGGGCAGAGTTGACATCTCGGCGCGGCACAAAAGAGTTGGGAATGTGCCCTGCACAGCCAGGTAAAGCGGGTGCTTCCTGAGACGTGGATCTCCAACCACTCAAAGTCTGCAACACGTTCTCGAATTCCGTGAGTCTCGCCTCGGCCTCGCTTTCGTTCACGAGGGTTTCTGGGTCGGTCGCAGTGAAGCCCAAGCCCATCAAACACCTCTCGGTGAAGAGGCACGGACATGTGGAAAGCTGAAGAAAGATTCTCTGTGCTGGGCGAACGGCATCTCCCCTCCGGCAAAGACATCCACACGGATCTCGAACCAACACCTCATGATTCCGACTCAGCACCACACGTGCGGCACACTGCATCACACCATCACAAATAATCTCCCGCGGTGAGGGTGCTAAGGCGGCCGTCATGCATGCCTCTTACTGCAATGCTCAACACAATCGGACAAGGAGCTCGAAAGCGGGAGCCATGCATAATAAAGGCTCCAGAAAGACTCAGGCTTTGGCCCGCGGCCGCCCAGGTTTCGAACTGGTTCCGCTGAGAAGGCCATCTGCAGAATCACCAAAGCTGACCGGGCTTTTCGCTTTTTTGTGTGGCTGGAAGCCAGGGGATTTCGATGATCAACAAAACCTTAAGCGCTCCAAATCGGACATGACACGTCGGCGTTTCTCAGTGCACGATTCGGATCTGGACATTGGAAATGCAACAGTAATTTTCTCCTGCTCTTGGAAGGACATCACATGACACGTCTTCTATATTACGGGACTAAAAGGGCTGCGCCTTGGGCTCGTTTTTCTGCAACACTGACCTGATCAGAACAGCCAGGAAACTGTTCGATCGCAACTTTAGTAGCACACCGCAGCAGGCTGACTGCGAGGCCACGCCTGTCTTTCCCGCGGAGCAGCTGCGTTCCGCCCAACTTGAGCTCCAACCTGAAATGGAACCGTCAGTTGTGAAGAGCCACAGTACATTAATGGTCTAGATGCTTTGCACTGCTGCCGCCGACGTTGCAATTCCACAATGCAAAAAGAAGACCGAGGAAGGGAAACAGCGAGGAGAGGGAGACTTTTGGACTTTGATTCGCAGAACAAGTATTTGTCCCATGCGCGGCTAAGCGCGACACACCGTTGTGCTGCGGCCAACTAGGGCTGTGAGGTGATCTCACATCGCTCGAAAATCCTAGCCACCCCGCCCCCAGCGGGGACCTAGCAGGTGAAACATGGTGACACATCAGTGGACCGAAGTCTGACGTCGCTGGATTCAGTTCAGAGCTTGAAAGCAAAGGATGAAGCAGTTCTCGTTGATGGTTTTCTGGAATGAGTGAGGCAGACTTTAGCTTTGACCCCGCCATCCGTGCACCACCATTGCGGGCACGGCTCCCCCGAAAAGGCCGAGTTGCGAGCAGTCTGTGCTGCAAGCTGCTGGACGAGAATGAGCGAGAAAAGCACGATAGTGCCCGCCTAGAGGAGTGGGGCCGCAGATGATGATGCCCCCGACAAGTCGATACGGCATTCACCTGATGCCATGAGCTGCTGACACGAATTTGGGAAAGCAGATCTGCGCAAGTGCCAGACAAGGAATGTAAATGCTGTTTTTCCCCTGCATAGCATCGGCATAACGGGCAAGACTTGCCAGCACAAGTTGCGACGGTAAGAGCAGCCCATGCGGCACTTGGTGCATATGCCCGCTCTTTACGAGGGAATGGCAAATCCACGAATATCGAGCCAGTCACTCTGGGTCCAAGGAATTCCCGGGATCCAGGTACAGGTCTAGCTTCCCAGTGACAGGTGATGAAGGCCAGATCATTTTGGTCCAGACGAAACCGTATGAGTTCGGCACAGTCCTGCTAGCGGTGGGGCTGGGCCCATCCTTGCAGCAGAATTCGCCATGTCAGAAGATCAAGAAGCAATAATCCCTGGCGTGGCAAGGGATCGCCTGGCATCAACATCTGATCGAGTGGTTGCACTGGCCCTGCAGCACCCTCAGAGGGGCCGCCTGGAAAACATGCATGCCAGGCATAGGCCAGTAGGTACACAGAGGAGTGTAGATAGCACAGATTTCGCGGATTGCAGAGTCCCAAGTGTGCCAGTGCAGGTGGCAGGAGGGGTTCTCCTGTGCAAGCGGCGACCGCGTTGGGCGGGCCAGTTTCAGCCTCCGGGACATCAACAACAGAGGCCCTGACGCAAACCAGAAAAGTTGAAGAAAAGCACCTCTTCCGCTGCCGATGGCGTGAGGAAGAACAACTCGAAGATGAATGTGGCCGTCTCCCCTGGTACTCCGGCCTGACCGTGCACGCGGCGGCAAGCCTCAGGATGAGGGCCGGATCCTTAACCAGTCTTGACCAGTGCCTTGAGTCTGTTGACGTCGATCACAACCTGCTCGAGTGTCAGTGTCCGATCCTCCTGCCTGGGCTCGAGCCGTTTCACCGCATGGTTCCAGTCCAAAAAGTTGAACTCGAGGTCGGAAGTCAGCCATCCGTCGGTTTGAGTTTGCTGCTGGGCTTGCGTTTGTAAGTTCCAGCTCTGCCACCAGGAATTGAAGGAGCGTAACTTTGAGCGAGCGAGTCACCATGCTCGGAGACTCGGTACTCGGTGTTGAGCTTCCTCCAATTGTCCGCGCATTCGAGCATGCGCGGCGCCATCTGGTGAGGGCCGTCGCTGGTGTTTTTGAAGGTAAACGCGACCGTATGGTCGGACTGTACCCGGGATAGCTATAGTCCGCCTGAGTCACCACGGCCTTTGCTATCTTCATCAGCAGATTGCATCATACTTGCACTGAGCATTTCGCAGCGCCAACAGGGCAAGTTCTGTGTGAGTAGCCGGATGCCGACGTCGCCGTCGTTTGAGCCTGTCAGCCGGGATGGCCAGCAGGTGAAGCTCAATTACGGTGTCCTCGGTGCAGTGCATGGCCGATATGGCCGTGGAACAGCCAAAGGCTGATTGCGACCATGCTGCCGTGAAAGGACCTCATGGTGGCCTGTGTCTTTGGGCTCCCTGTTGGGGCCACTTTCAGGATATTGTCCTTCCAGCCAAGCACTACCAATTTTGTTCGAGTTCCTGACACTGCCGGCTCCGAGGTTTGCGCGCTCGCATGAGGCTCCCTTCCGCCAATCACTTGGTTCAAGAGGCCATCCGGAAGCAACAAGTATGGCCACCGCATCATCCATGGCATGCGGCCCCGATCGCTTTGTACAAGCTCTGCTGGTAGAGCCGATTCGAGCCGTGGTGTTTGAGGAGAGGGAGAAGGAGGGAGGGAGAGAGAGAGAGAGAGAGAGAGAGAGAGAGAGACAGAGAGAGCGAGTAATTCTGCCTTTGGCGAGGTTTAGCGTTAACCCGTACAGAGAGGATTCAACTTTAATAGCTC